TATTACATTCTTGGCTACTTTACACTAGTAGTTAGTTCTTTCACTAGTGGAGGGGGCATCATTGAATAAGTGTGGGTACTTTTGCTTCATTTGGTCCTCGCGTTCCCAGGTAAACTCTGGCCCTCTACGAGAGTTCCATCGGACTTTTACTATAGGTATGCGGTTTTGTTTAAGTCTTTTAATTTCCCGATCCATAATCTCCATTGGTTCCTCCATGAAGTGAAGCTTTGTGTTGACCTGAATTTCATCGAGTGGTACGATCAAATTTTCATCGGCTAGGCACTTTTTGAGATTAGACACGTGGAAGGTATCGTGAACCTTGTTAAGCTCTTGAGGTAGGTTGAGCTTATAAGCTACCAGACCAACTCTTGCTAGGATCTCAAAGGGTCCGATGTAACGTGGGTTTAGCTTTCCTCTTTTTCCGAATCTAATGACACCCTTCCATGGGGCAACTTTTAGTAGGACTCGGTCTCCTACTTTGAATTCCAATGGTTTGCGTCTGTTGTCAGCATAACTCTTCTGCCGACTACGTGCGGCTTTTAGCCGTTCTTTTATCTGAACAATCTTTTCTGTTGTCTCCTGAATGATTTCAGGTCCAGTGAATAGTGTATCTCTAATATGTTTTCCTGCTAGTTGGGTATCTCCAATCTCTGCCCAACATAATGGTGAACGACATTTGCGCCCATACAAGGCCTCGAATGGAGCGGCCTTTATACTACTGTGATAGCTGTTGTTGTAAGAGAACTCAACTAATGGCAAGTGAGTATCCCATGCGTTACCAAAGTCTATCACACAAGCGCGGAGCATATCTTCCAGAGTTTGTATTGTCCTTTCGCTCTGGCCATCCGTTTGGGGATGATATGCTGTACTCATGTCGAGTTTTGTGCCTAGGGATCTTTGCAGTGATTGCCAAAATCTGGAAGTGAATCTACTATCTCGGTCCGAGATGATAGATATTGGCACACCGTGTAGTTGACTATCTCCTTGAGATAAGTTCTGGTGAGTTTTTCCATCTTATCAGTTTCCTTGATGGCTAAGAAGTGAGCGGACTTGGTCAAACGGTCAACCACTACCCATATGGTATCGTAACCGCTTGATGTCTTGGGCAACTTTGTTATAAAGTCCATTGTTATTTGTTCCCACTTCCATTCTGGAATTGATGGTTGTTGTAGCAGGCCAGACGGCTTCTGGTACTCCGCCTTGACCTTGGAGCAGGTCAAACACTTACCAACATAAGTGGCAATTTCTGCCTTCATATTGGGCCACCAATAATGCTTCTTGAGATCGAGATACATCTTGTCTGATCCGGGATGTATTGAGTATCTTGACTTGTGAGCTTCATTTAAAACCAAATCTCTGACTTCTCCAAATCTTGGAGTCCAAATTCGGTTCATGAAGTATCGCGTTCCATCATCTCTGAGGTCGAACTGTTTGTCCATGCCTCGTAGGTTTTCTTCCATGATGTTTTCAGGTTTAAGTGCTTCTAGCTGAGCATCACGAATTTGAATAGTAAGGTTCGAGTGGATGGTTAGGGTTAGAGCCTTTACACGAAGAGGTTTTGCTCGTTCCTTCCTGCTTAAGGCATCTGCCACAACGTTTGCTTTACCGGGATGATAACGAATCTCGCATTCATAATCATTTAGTAATTCGACCCATCTCCGTTGTCTCATATTGAGCTCTTTTTGATCAAAAATGTGTTGGAGGCTCTTGTGGTCTGTGAATACAATGCACTTTGTCCCGTATAGATAGTGTCTCCAAATCTTCAGAGCAAATATTACGGCTCCCAACTCTAAGTCATGGGTAGTGTAGTTTGTCTCATTTGGCTTTAGTTGTCGGGATGCATATGCAATAACCTTATTCCTCTGCATTAGTACACACCCTAACCCTTGACGTGAGGCATCACAGTATACTACAAAGTCTTCTGTTCCCTCGGGAAGAGACAAAATTGGTGCACTGCATAACAATTGCTTCAATTTTCGGAAGGCAGACTCTTGACTGTCTCCCCAGTTGAACTTTTTGTCTTTCTGGGTTAGTGCGGTGAGAGGCTTGGCTATTTTGGAGAAGTTCTCAATAAATCTCCGATAATAGCCTGCAAGCCCTAAGAACTGACGTACTTCGGTTGGTGTTGTTGGTGCTTTCCAATTCTTGACAGCTTCAATCTTCACCGGATCGACATGAATCCCTTTATTGCTGACCACATGACCGAGGAAATGAACTTCGTTAATCCAGAACTCACACTTAGAAAACTTTGCATAAAGTTTTTCTTTTCTTAGTAGTTCTAGGATTAAACGCAAGTGCTGGCCATGTTCTTCCTTGGTTCGTGAGTATATTAATATGTCATCGATAAAGACAATCACAAATTTGTCCAAGTAGGGTTTACACACCCGATTCATAAGGTCCATGAATACGGCAGGTGCGTTGGTCAGTCCAAATGGCATCACTAGAAACTCATAGTGACCGTATCTAGTTCGGAATGCCGTCTTTGGAATATCCGCTTCTTGAACTCTAAGTTGATGATAGCCGGATCGTAGGTCGATCTTTGAGTAGTAGCAGGATCCTTGTAATTGGTCGAACAGGTCATCGATCCTCGGGAGTGGATACCGGTTTTTGATAGTGAGCTTATTCAACTCTCGATAATCGATGCACATCCTAAAAGAACCATCCTTCTTTTTGACAAACAATACCGGGGCTCCCCATGGAGAGAAGCTTGGCCGAATAAAGCCTTTGTCGAGAAGTTCTTGAAGTTGACTGGATAGTTCTTGCATTTCCGATGGAGCCAGGCGATAAGGAGACCGTGCCACTGGTGCTGCACCCGGGATAAGGTCGATTCGAAATTCAACCTGTCTGATAGGAGGTACTCCAGGTAGGTCTTCTGGAAATACGTCTGGGTAGTCACACACTTGTGGTATGTCTTTGATTTCCTTACCCTTGCCTTGCGTATCCACCACGTGGGCCAAGAAAGCGTAGCATCTCTTCTGCAAATACTTCCTTGCCTTCATGCAAGTAATGACTCGTAGGTTCTTCCCCGCCTTGTCTCCATAAATCACAAGGACTTCATCGTTTGGTAAGGGTAATCGTACAGCTTTTTCGTAACATAAAATCTCCGCTCGATGGGCTGATAACCAATCCATTCCGATGATTACATCGAAACTTCCAATGGTTATGGGCATTAAGTCGACAGGGAACACGTGATTATTCAGGGTGAGAAGGCAGTTGGTGAGTATTTCTAAGGTGCTTTCTATTTGACCATTGGCTACTTCTACCGTGTAAGCATTATTGAGTTTGCATGATTCATGATTAATCATTTTTCTAAATTTGTGGGAAATAAAACTCTTATCAGCACCAGTGTCAAATAATACAGAGGCATAAATATTGTTGATAGGAAACGTACCAGTAACCACAGTTGGTTCCTGGCGTGCGTCTCCCGCACCTATCACAAATGCCCTTCCTTGACCACCCTGTCTCTTCAGCTTAGGACAATCTTTCCTGAAATGTCCATGTTGGTTGCACTCGAAGCAGGTTCGACTTTCTCTTGCGGTAGTAGTTGAGACTGTGTTGCTTGGGTTCTTTTTGCAAAATTTGGTGGTATGACCGCTTAATTTGCAGTTGCTACATATCCTGCAGTCTCCAACATGATGATAATTGCACTTAGGGCAGCGAGGTAGAGTTCCAGCGTAGGGTTTTACTGGAGTGGGAGTGGTTGTGACTGCAGCATACACCGTTACAGGCTCTGGGTTTCGCTTACGGTGTTTGAAGTTCCCTTTTGGCTTTCCCTGGAAGTTTCTCTTAGATTTCCCAGTTTGGTTCTTTTCTTTTGCAGGGGCCATGGTGCCTTGTCGGATACATTGTTCAGTCAACTCATAGGCCAGCTGCTTGGCACTATCAAAAGTTGAGGGTCTGGATGCAGTAACCAGACCTTGGACTGGCGATGCTAATCCCCAAATGTATCTCTCCGTCTTCTTGTCTTCTGAAGGTACCATTCCGGGACAAAGAGTTGCAAGGTCTTCGAATCGGGAGGTATAAGCAGCTACCTCTGATCCTTGCATGGTTAGGTTCCAGAGTTCTTGTTCTAATGCCTGAATCTCCTGCCGTGGGCAATACACTTTAGTCATCATTAGTTTCAGCTGTTCCCATCCCATGGCATAGGCTTCCGCAATTCCCACGGTCTTGGCATGGTTGTTCCACCAAGTTAAGGCAGCATCCATCAGTGTGCAGGTAGCGTACTTAACCCTGCAGTCATCCGGGCAAGAGCTGATGTGGAAGACAGCTTCAATCTTCTCTATCCATCGGGATAGGCCAACAGCTCCTTCAGTTCCGTAGAAGGATCGGGGTTTACAACCCATGAATTCTTTGTATGAGCAGTGTTTGGGATTTCTTTGGGCAACTACAGGAGTACCACTTCCGCTATTTCCAGTATTCCCGTTTCGAGCTGCCTCATAAGTCGCCAAGGCCGTAGCAATCCCTTGTGCAAGCATGTTTTGCATCATAGTGGGATCCATCTGGAAATTTTGGTGGTTATTTGTAGCACTTGGGGCTTCTTCAGGGTCTGGAGTTTCTTCTGTTGTTTGAGTTATCTCTGGAGCACTTCTCCTGTTAGTTCGGGGAGTCGGTGGTGGACGAACTCGTGGTTCTTTTCGTCGAGGCATTATCCTAATACGTTAGATAAGTAAGTTAATTTTTTTTTAAACCATATAGTTATAATGTGTGTGTATTTTGTATTTGTTCAATTTGTTTTTCTTGCGAAACCAGAAAATGAAAGCTTTTCCTGATATATAGAGTTTTGCAAGCAATACATAATAAATACAAACATTTAATAAAACACTGAAACATTGTCATCAGAACTGCTTGTTTTGGTTACAAAGTTTTAACCATATAAGGTTAGAAATAGAAAAGCTTTTCAAAAGAGCTATTACAAACCAGGCAGTGATAAACACTTGCAATACAAAAGCTATTCCTCAAAAGTCCTAACCTTATCCTAGGACACAAGCTGTCCTAGATATCTACCTCCCAAATCGAGTCATCACATAGAGGACAAAGTCCTCGAACTGGTCCAAGATGTAGCGTCGTTCCTGCGCAGAGATAACCAACTGATTTCGCTGCGCAGCAAGCTCGCTCTCCATGATCTGAATCCGGTAGTTCTGTGCTCTTACCTGAGCACTCAAGGCATTCACTGCATCGTGATCAGCACCCGAGAGATGATATAATATCTGGATCGCATCAGAATTCTCCTTCTCCTCTTCCTCGAGTGTCTCAACTCGATGGTCGAGGGAAGTAGAGCCTGGACCTCTCACAAACTGCTCCAAGGATCTAATCCTATCCTCGGTCTGATCAATCTGAGTCATCAAGCGAGGTATCGGATCATCCTCAGGATTAAACCTGAGTGGTGCTCGTGAAGATTCACCAACCTCAAACCGTGGTGGTAGATCAGTAGCATCCCTCCTGCTAAGGAGGTCTGTGAGCCAAGATGGCTCACTGGGTCGATTACGTTTCCCTAATAGACCACTAGTGGGTCGGGAAACCTGAGCAGCTGGGTCCAAGTGGTAAATAGGAGATATAGTAGTTCCTGGGGTCCTCATCATACAAGGGCCCTTGCCGCGCAGAAGGTACGGCTGGTAGTAGGGTCTCGGTGGTGAGTCTGGTGGGGTAAGGGGAGTAGGTTCCTCTTCGGAGAGGTCTCCCTCATCCTCTGCAGGACCATCATCATCAGTCTCTTGGGCATCCTGAAATATGCCCTCATTCTCGAGCTCCTCCTCATCGGGATCCTCCTCAGGATCCTCTTCGGGATCCTCCTCAAGACCGTCATGGGGAAAGTACGGATCCCCCGCTAAGTGTAGTGGATGTGGATGCAAAGGAACTCCAAATGGCTCATCAGGATCCTCAAGTCGAAACCAGTCATCAGGGTTATCCGGTAGTCCAGCCATCTACATAAAGGGTTTCAAGCGGTTAGTAAATTTGTATAAGTTTTTATTATTATTATTTTTATAAGAGTTTTAAGGTTGATAAAAGGATTCTAAGGTATTAAGCTTCAGCAACGAATCTGATGGATATTCTTCAACTTCTAAAACTCTCAACCGTTGTAGCTTGTCAAACTCCTTGCTCAAGGTTGGTTGTGCACCGGCCCGACCATAAATAACATAGGCGCGCGTTCCAGGTTTATTTGTGGTATGGCTTATGTACGATACTAACCTTTAATTGAGGCGTTTGACCTAAAGGGTTGAGTTGGTAGTTTTAGTTGAAGGGATGTTTAGAATTTTTATTAAGTGTTCTCATCGTGGGTCAGGGTATATATATCAACTCTTACATATTAAGGTTGGTGGGGTTTGTAGTATTATTAATCTTTGTTTTGTACTTCCCAACTACCATACCGTAAGTAGTCGGGAAGTAGTTTTATTATTGATAATACTTTTATAAGAAGCTAGTTGCTATAGTTGTATTCCTCTTTCGAGGATACGAGTTCTCTATAGCCAATTTAGCTCTGATACCAATCTGTCACACCCCCGGCCGAGGCGGCGGAACATGCCGGGCTGTGCGACTAAGTTCATGGATCACAGATAAATTGAATATACAGCACAAGTACAACAATAAACAAAACAACATTTCATTACATGTTTATGTTTTCATACATGGTTCTTACAGATAGTAATAAAATAATAATACGAGTTTGCCTTAACAGTTAGGCATAACAGTTCAAAAGTAGAAAATTAAAGTACTTGCGAGCCATGTTTTCCATCGTCTGAGTGTGCCCGAAATTTCACTGATTTCCTGAGAATACATGTATTTTGAAAGTCAACACGAGGTTGGTGAGAGTCACAGGTTTTCTGCTAGCCGCAGTAATAATACTTTCAAAAGTCCAAGAGTATATTTTTCTTGTATATGATAGTTGAAACAATGCTTGTCATGAGTCTTTAAAAGCTAAAAAGTAATTTTATAAATAAATTATGCTTTTAAAGAAAATGTGTTTGTAATAACTTCATGAAAGTTTAAATATATCCATTGTATAAGTAACCAATATACTTAAAAACAGTTCTAAAAGCAACCAAACATATGGTTGTAGTGAAAAAGTGAGAGAGATTCGTGTTAATGTTTTTAGTGAGTTCTATAATCGAGCTATAGACGAAAGGTACCCCTCCCTACGACGCTTCATTGGACATCGTAGTAACGATCGTAGACACATATCACCTGCTTCGATTGATCAGTCGATGGTTGTAGCTAGCAACCGCAGGTGGGGTTGTCAACCCTATATAGATCTATATATATGTAACTCGCTCCGAAGATTAACGATTATAGCAGTGTGGGGCAGGCTAAGTGATTAAACTCAGCTAATGAATAGTAGCGTCTCACTCAAAAACCATTAACGCAAAGTTTGTGAATAACTCTCAGCCCTAACTTAATTATGATAAGTACCGGGCACAATGAAACTCGTAGTATAGTATTTGTAAAGTCGAGTATGGTTGACGTATTTATAAAAGTATAAATTACTCGCTTTTATAGAGATATGTATTTTAACATAACGATCTTGTATAAGTGTGTAAAGTCTTATGCATGATGGAAGTATTTATAACTTAAATTTGTAGCATGCATATCATATAAGACTTATATATTTGTATCATAAATAATATATAGCACATGTATTCTCCCCCAAAACAAATAAATACAAAAAGAGGGGCCGTAACTCTCACCTTATCGAGTGGTTAAAGAGTAGTTCTGAATGTCGAGATGCGTTGCCGAGAGGTCGTGATTTCCGGGATAAATCCAATTTCCTAGAAATATTTGTTATAAATCAATATTTGGTAGATATTGGGTATTTGAACTAGTATAATGGTTTAGAATTTTTCTAAATGTTTATTATCTCAAAATTTATTTAAATAAAAAATTTTTTTTCTAAAAATTTAGTTTATTATTTTCCTAAAATATTTAACTCCCAAAAATTTATTTAAATCAAAATACAATTTTTATAATTTAAGATTTAATAACAATCAAATATAAAAATGTATATATATGTAAAAAAAATGAATTTATGAAATTTCTATTTTAATATTTTCAACTTCTATTGAAAGGATTTTTCAAAATTTGGGTAGATTGTGAATATTTCAAATGTATGTTTAGGACTTAGGACCTAGTTTAAAAACAGTTTTTGGGAGTAAGGGGTTGAATCTAGACAATATCATACTTGGGGGACTGCATGTGGCAAAACCGCATGCATGTTTGTGTATCTGATTGATAAACAGGAGGGAAACCTCCTGTTCGTCTTCTTTGTTTTCGTGATACACCGAGGCACAACCAGAATATATACAGTGGTCCTTGATTTGTTTAACTTAATGAGAACAAAAGACAAATAAATTGGAGGGTGGCGATGACTCACAGAAGTGGAGCAGCAGCAGAAACCGGCGGTGCTGGTGGTGGCCGTGAGTGCGACGAGAGGTTGACGGAGGTGATAGTTCGGTGCTGCTGGCTTCGTTCTTCTTTCTTTTACCAGTATTTCGATGCAACAATTGTGGAGAAGCTTTTGGGGATCGAAATTAATAGCAATGACAGCTTAGGGATGAAGTTCTTGGGTGGTGGAAGTGGGTGTTTGAAGGTTGCAATGGGTGGTGGGTGATTGCTGGCAGGAGGGTGATTCAGTGGTGGCAGGAGGCTACTCCGGTGGCCTTTTGATGCTTCTTTCTTGCTTATTTTAACAGGGAAGACCAGAAAGGAGGAGGTGATCCATGGTGGTGATGTTGTAACTGTGAGAGAGAGAATTGAGAGGGAAGAAGAAGCTGATGAATTGTGTGATTTTGGAGGCTGCTTATGCATGTATTTATACTAAAAATGCATACTCACATATAAAGAGGCCATACTCCTACACCTATCTCTTGTACTATGTTGGTGAAACTTGTACACAAAGAAGAGAGGTGGAAGGAGAGCACGTGGGTTATACCAGCTGGAAGAGATCAGGTTTTTGGAGTCCATCACATGTGGGCCCCACATGGAGTTATACCTCTATTTCATGTCCAAAACATGCGAAAACCGGGTGCCTCGGGATTCGTGCATCAAATATTTTTTTCGAAAGGACTTTTAGATAGAGTATAATTCAAGGATTTCAGAACATCAAACAAATTAATTTTTGGAGTTACGGATCTCCGGGAAATTGCGTTTGAAGTTTTGCGTCTTAACGGTTGGCGGTGTCCGTTTTCGCGACTTTCATAAATATTTTCGTAAGAATTATTTTGAGTGTGAAATTAAATAATATTCTATATCCTGAGTCCAAAAACGCTCTCAAAAATCCCGTCGGCAAAGCGTAAGTGCCTCAACGGAACGTTTTTGTTTACGCGATTAAAGAATAAAAGTGTTTTACTGTCCGTTTTTCTTAAAGCGGTTATATCTTTTGCATACAAACTCCGTTTTGGACGTTCTTTATATTTTTGGAAATGGGGGAACATGTACTATCATATTTTTGTGTTTATTTTGCTCAAAAATGAAAAAATGTTAAATTTCAATTTTCAGACGCATTAGTCAGCGCTGCAGTTGAGCGGTTTGATTGGGTTACCAGTTTACACGTTTGGGCATAAAAATATCATCAAATATTATATAATAATTGAAATTAACTCATTTATATTTCCTTAGATGCAGTTAAAGCTGAATGAATTAATTACAAATAGATTTGTCGTAGTTTAGTCGTTTGAAGTCTATGCCCTAAATTCCGGGATGTCACACCTTCCGATCCCTAATTTCCACCGGTCTCTCAACATAGTTCAGGCCTACATCCACCTGAATATCCTCTAATGGAAACACTACCGACTCGTCGGCTATACACTTTCTCAACTGCGACACGTGAAAAGTGTTGTGAATCTGACCCAACTCCGCAGGTAGCTCCAAACAGTAGGCTACCCTACCTACCCTCACGATTACCCTGAAAGGTTGAATATATCGAGGCCCCAAATTGCCCCTCTTCCTGAATCGGATCACTCCTTTCCAAGGAGAGACCTTTAAGAGTACCAAGTCACCAACCTGAAACTCGAGCTCGGACCGACGCCTGTCTGCATAACTCTTCTGACAACTCTGGGCGGTCAACAACCTCTTCCTAACCTGCTATATCTGCTCAGTCATCTGAAGCATGATCTCCGTACTACCCATTACACGTTGCCCACCTCTCCCCAGCAAATGGGGGTCCGGCACCTCCTCCCATACAACAGCTCAAAGGGTGGCATACCAATTCTCGAATGATGGATGTTGTTGTACGAAAACTCTGCCAAGGGCAAGTATGTGTCCCAACTCCCGCCAAAATCCAAAACACATGCTCGGAGCATATCCTCGAGTGTCTGAATTGTTCGCTCGCTCTGCCTGTCAGTCTATGGGTGATATGCGGTACTAAAATGCAACTGCGTACCAAACTCCTCATGAAATTTCTTCCATAACCTAGAAATGAAACGCACATCTCGATCCGAGACAATCAACATCGGAACTCCATGCCGCGAGACCACCTCTCTCACATACAAGTCTGCCAGCTTCTCCGCAGAAGAGCTCTCGCTAATGGCATGGAAGTGAGCACTCTTCGTCAACTAGTCTATAATCACCCAAATTGTATCAACACCCCTCGCAGTCCTTGGTAATTTGGTGATAAAGACTGTTGGATTAGTGTCTAAGTCCATAACTATTTTGGTATGTACTTGACCCGATGGTGCATGGTCCTTTTGGGTTGCCTTCACCAAAGCAACTTGATTGGAGAAATGAATAAAGAGAGAAAGGATAATATGATTTATTAATATGTTATAGGAATAATATATTAAAGGAGAAATCATATTTGTTTAATTAATATTGGTCAATAATTAATTAAGAATTAGTTTTGTGATCAAATGTAATTAATTAAACTAGAGGGGCTGATTTGTAATTATGTGATAGTTACAAAATAAGGTAAGGATTATCTTATTTATATGGTGGA